GGTAGGAGGTGTAGTCTAGCAGCTATCACAAAACCATGAAATGATGACAGCCTGAACACAGCTCCGAGAAGTCTGGTAGGAGCACCTGGTGTCATCAAGGGGCCGAGGTGTCAGGGAAAGGTTGAGGATTCCTGAACTGCCTCCTGGGAGCAGCAGCTGGGTGTTGACCAGGGAGAAGTGTGGAAGTCGGCAAGCACACCTATTCGTACACTACAGTGGGCTGGCAGGCTCTTTTACACTTAGGGGCTGGCGTCACTCATGTGCTGGCAAATATTTAGTAAATGCCTCTCTCAAAAAAAGTGTATGCGTGTACACAGAGCTGGGAAGAGATACACAGAAGCACACTATTAACTCTGTTTTCTACCAAACAGATGTAACAGAAATAAAAATCATAGGAGTATAGATCATAATAAAGTAATCAGGAAGTGATGTGTTTGAGTAACATATGCTATTACTTGAATAACATATATACAAGTATATATTTTTATATTATATATTTGTATATATTTATCATAATTTTTACAATTAATAATACATGTATATAACATACTTAACTGTAAGTTTATAGAATTTAATTTTTAATGATGGCTGTATTTAACAGCCAGTTCACAAAATTCCTGAAAAATGTAACAGTTGGCTTTGGCAAGCTGGTTTGAGCCAGCTCTGCTACACCATTGGTTGCATTCATTCTTCCATTCAATAAATATTTATTGAGCATCTCCTGTGCCTACCAGGCACTGTGTTCATTGCTGAGAATACATTAGTCAACAAAAACAATAACAGAAGTGTCTTCTGGTTCTAAAATTCTGTGATTGTTAGTCGCTACTGTTCTGACCAATCTTGTCCCTACACATCTACTTTGCTCCTGTGCAAGCACATCACTCCCTGCTGCTGAGCACGTCCGCGGCTCCCAGCCCACGGGTCGCATCATCTCCCTGTCTGTTGGGGCAGCAGACATCTGGCCGTCTGCAGAGTCTAACATTTAGATGCAGCAACGAAGGACTGGCCAAACATCCTGTAGCCCTCCTGGGGACTGGAGGTAGTCTGGGAGATCTGCTCGGGGTGAAGGACTCCTAGACGTCTGGAGAACAGAGGAGAGTGTTTGGGGATCACACTGCATGGGTGGCAGCTCCTCCAAGGATTCCTCTCTGACTGTTTGCTCCTCTCTTCTCTCCTGAGGCTCCTGGGTATCTTCCCAGGGCACCCAGATATCCTCTGTCTCAGCCCTAACAATATGGTCTTGATTTACCCCTACTTACCAGGACAAAAGCTTCTTTGAGACTGTGCCTCAAAGTGAACAAAATCAGCAAGTATTTGGTGCCAGGCTGAATAAGTGAACTTCCCAGTTATTGATCAGGTGGCCGGGCGCCCTTTGTAAGTTCATCACCACCTCTGGAAAAATCAAACTTTAGAATGCATATGAATGCATATAAAGGCTGTGCCCTTTTAGCAGCCATGGTTTTAAATGCAATTTGAATTGAAAGTTGAGCCTAAGATGGAGAGCAAAATAGGTGCCTCTCAGTAGTGTCTGAGAAACAGGAAATTCAGATCCCGAGTGGCAGGAGATGTCAGCTGTCATCTTCTTGCTGCGCGTACCTGGATCTTAGTGATTCGGCTTGTTAACTCGGGAGACTGGCCTGGAAGCTCTCACAGTTCTTCCAACTCTACTGTTCATGATTCTATTCCATTTTACTACCACTTGTGGGATACAGAATGGAGAATTGGGGATACTTTTTCTGTTCTTTATGTAGAATTCAAAGATACATATTTAATGGAAATACGGGGACAAGAGTGTGAGTCAGATATGGTATACAGTTCTATTTTAACACCATTTCTATATTCATATTGAGTTCAGATGCATTTAATAAATTAGAGAGTGATTCATTATAATATTGAAATGTGTTGGTGCAAAACCACTTTTTTTCTAAGCAAGGGAAGCCCAGAATAGTAGGAGCAGAATTGTAACCTTTAGCAAGAAAGGAAAATGCCCTCAGTAAATTACCACACAGACAAAACGTCTTCCAGCTAGAGTTGAAGAAGGTAAGAAATGAGCAGAGGCTCTGGGAGCTCCGCTCCGGAGAGGTGGTCCCAGCCTTGTACACTCTTGCCCAACGCCCACGTGTTCGGAAAAACCCATCCTCTATCTCTATAGCTTGAACTTTTCAAGCCAACATTTCCAACCAAATGTTTTTCTCCATTTTTCATAACCCCTGTGCAACCTCCAGCCTCCAGGCTGTCTCCCAAAGTAACAATGGCTTTGCATATAAAAGGGCATATGGTTTCGGGGTCTTCCCATAACGTGGTTTTCCCAACAGTTTTGCAGGTTGGGAAGTTTTTCAGGAACATCTGTATCACCTGATAACAGAAATACCTATACTTTTAAATTTGTATGGTTTGGGGGAATTTTTGTTTTTTACTTCTTAATGTGAAAGTACTATGTTTTTCATAAAACAAAAAGTTAAACTACATAATAGCATATTAGGTTTAAAAAAAGGGAGGAAACATATAATCCTTCTGTCCACGTACTCCAGGTTACCCAATTTTAACTCCTCCAAAAAAGAGGTTAATTTCTGTTTCCAGCAGTGGTGGGCAGGAGTGCCCACTCACCCCCACTGCACTAGCTGTTAGTACCAAGGATCAGAGCTTCTGGAAGCAATGAAGAAGAATGAGGGTGGAAACCTTACGGCTACACTTTTCATCAAATAACGGTTCACCCTTAGAGAACTGCATTGTTAAAAAAGAAGACTTTTCTCATCATTTTTCTCCAAAGACAATTAAAATGCCCCTTTCATAACATTTTATTATTTTTTTTCAAAGGGTTGAGAAAGAACTAGAGAGCCAGGCTTTATAATATTCTCTGTGAAACTTGGCATTGATGTCATTTCATTCCTGTACCTAAATAAGCTTTCTTAAAATACAGTCAAATCAATTCTGGCCTGCAGAAATATACGCACAGTAATGTAATGAATAATTTGAAGTGACAGCTATTTCCCACATGTTTTCTTTTTATGAAAATTTTTAATATATTAAATATAATCTCTTTATATTAAGAAAATCAAATAATCAGTACCTTCAAATGTTCATTCTTTATCTCTATTTTCTTGCATCCCCTGGAAATGAGGTTGAGTATCACCAGAAGTCACTGGTAAATAGGTTTTGGTTTGGTTGATTGTTTCTGTTCTTGTTTTTTTTTTTTCTCTTAAGCTTTTAAGATTTTTATGTCTACAGAAATAGAGAAATAACCACAGACCTTTTCTTTTATCTTTCTGCTCTTTTGATCTAACAGGACATGTTTACGAAAAACTGTCCCTGTGAAACCTAGTGCTATATAATTCCTCTTGGGGACACATTTTGGTAATTGTACTGTTGTGACAGGAACCAAAAATTCCAACTACCACATATAAATGGAACACATATAAATTATATTTGGAATAAGTGGTTATAACATTTTCAAGTTCAGTCTCACTAACTACAGTGAGTTCTGGTCTCCAGGATATGAAGCCTCATATTATTTTGGCTTTGTGAAGTGAGCAGAGAGATACTATGTCTGGAACTATCATGCTGATGAGGTATGTAGAGTGCGAGTTCTCTTTCAAAAAAAAGAACTTTAAGTGGACATTGCAATGTATAATAATAATAATAATAGCCTGCATTTTTTTTTTGTACCTTTTGCATGCCGGGCCATACTAAGCAGGTACTATCTTACTAAACTCTCATACAACCCAGGTAGGTGTCTAGTACTACTATTTTTCATATGAGCAATGAAAATGGTACTCTGCTAGATACAATGGTTTGCAACTCACTGTTGCCATAATGATACAGTATGTGTTTCTTTTTTCATTGACATAAATCTACCTTCCTCTGATCTGCAGTTGCCAAGTGTTCCACTGTGTCTAAGTACAATTAACCAGGTCCTGAGTGATGGAGAATTAAGTTGTCTCCAGTTTTCTGTGATTGCAAACTACATCCCAATGTACAGAGATTTCTGGGTGCATTTTTATAAGACTGTTTGTTTAATAAGGGGCAAGTTGTTTGATAAGGGGCAGGTTGTTTGATATTCAAGCAATTCAAGGAAATCAAATGTTGCGTATAGTCAGACATCATGGCATAATAAAACCACATCATAATTGTGTCTAGACCGGGTCTGAGAGAAGGCTGTCCCATGCACCCTTCCTTCTGTTTGCCTCCTGCCCACCCTCCCAGGCCAGCTTCTCTCTGACAGTTCCCTGTGAGGTCAAGTCCCCTGATGTGGTCAGACAGGCCACTGACTCTTCCCAAGGACCTGGGTTATACAGAGTCTTTGGGGTGGATTCCCTTCGCTGGTTGGGGCCAAAAGCCACAACTTCTCCTTTCCTCCCTCTATCTGGAACCAGAGTCAGGTGCTTGGAGGAGGAGACGGTGTTTTCCTCTGATGCTAGCTAGCAACGCAAATCAGCTTAAGCTGCAAAGAAATAGTTGGCTCACGCAAGTGGGAAGTCCGGGGCCTCTGGGCCCTGCTGGGATTCAGTGTCAGGGAGCCTCAAGGCTAATCTCCCGGAGGGGCTGCCTTCCTCTGAATTGGGTCCATTGGCTGGCGCGTCCTCCCTTTCCTTGTCCCAAGGTAGGCACCTGTCCTATCTCCTGTCCTGCACAATCCACAAGAAAGCTGGCTCTGTCATTCTGCAAGTATTTACTGTGCACCTACCATGTGCCATCTAGACCCTGGGGAGAGAGCAGGGGACAAAACAACAAAACCCTTGGTTTCCCGCCACTGATCCCCTGCACGCCCCTGGGGATCGCGTCATTCGCCTGGCAGTCACCTAGCCTCCCGGAGACTCAGAGGTGACGTCAGCCCAGCCAGAGCTGCAGCGCTGAGCGGAGCTGCAGCGAGGCGCTGCCAGGACGTCCTCGATGACTCGCCCACCCGTTTGCTAGGTTGTAAGACCTCCGGCCCCGTGTCCCCTGACAGTTGTCTTTCCATCCCAGTGTGGCTGACGCTCCCCTTCCTTCCTCTGGTGCAGCTGCAGCTGAAGATGAGCGAGCGAGCGGCCTCGCTGAGCACCGTGGCGCCTCTGCCCCGCAGCGCCTACTGGCAGCACATCACCCGGCAGCACAGCACTGGGCAGCTCTACGGCCTGCAGGGTGAGCGTGGGGGCGGGGCCTGGGTGGGTGTTGTGGGTGGGGGCGGGACTTGAGCCTGGAGGGGCGGACCCTGGGTGGGCGTTGCAGGTGGGGGCGTGGCCTGAGCCTGGAGGGGCGGGGCCCTCTCCCAGTGGGGCTACCCTACCCTCCTCCCAGAGCCATCAAGGTCCATCAAGGCCTCATTCCCAGGGCACGCACTCTACCAGGCTATTCTGGGGAAATGGTTCAAAATGCAGATTTTGGGGCCCTCTGGCCCAGAGATTCTAGATTTTAAGGTGTAGGAAGCAGCTGAGCAATCTGCACTTGTCATCATTACCCAGGGTCTGGGCAAGAGGTCTGGGGTTCCTACCTCGAGAAGTAGTCTAGTGGACTAACGACTAACAACAGCGTCCACATTCCTTGGAACTTGCAAGAAATACAGATTCCAGGCCTGTCCCCAGACCTGTGGAACTGGACCTCAGAGTGTGGGGCCCGGGCATTTATGTGTGCACAGCCCCCAGGTGATTTTCATGAAGCCCCCAGCTTGTGACCGTGCTCTGGTGGGAAGGGAGTTGGGGCAGGAAGGCTGGGGCTCTTGTTCTGCTGCCACTCCAGCAAATACTAAAAAGATCCTCCCCAGAAAAGGGCTCTCTGAGCAGGTACTCAGTGGCCTATTGTGAGGTAAGGGACAACAGGACTGATCAGAAAGAAAGTTTAACATTTTCTTTTCCTTTCATATGCACCTTTTTGTATATTTTATAGTGTATAAGAACAGAATGTGTGTATATAATGTATAAAATAAATAGGCCTATGTGGGGGATCCTTGTTAAAGAACTTGCACTGATGATGGTACAAGATCCCAGAGCTTTGAGGAGCATGCCCTAGACTGCTCCTCGTTCATACACAGACCTTTGCGGAGCCCAAGAATGCAAGACCGGATGAAGGGCCAAAGGAAGCAATGCCCTTGGCCCTCTGTGCCTGCCCTCTGCACACTCATCACCCTGCCGCCCTTCCAGCCCTTTCTGCTAGCCATTTCTCCCCCAGAGCGCTTCTGTTCTTTTTCCCTGGAATGCTGAGCCTCACCCCATCCTAGGTAACTGTCATTTCCACATCTTACATCCGGTTGCCCTCCCTGCTCGAAGGCAGCTCCTCAGATGTTGTAACAGGCGTAGGATCTCTGTTTCTGTTCTCATAAGATGAAAATAATGACACTCTCCTTGGCAGCCCTTATCATGGCTTCATTTCATATTTAACTGTTTGGCCCGTCGACTCATGACCAGCTCTTCCAGGAAGCAGTGATGCCAAGAACAGCAGGAGAGCTGTGTCTTAATTTTATCCCCACTGCCAGGCTTGCAGCAGCTGGTCCATGAGCATTTGTTGAATGAATGTATCATGTTAAGGCACTGAAGGTACTTCCTAATCTTTATGACTAAAAGGCTCCGTTCACTAGCAGAGAGCATGGCACATTGTAGATGCTCAAAAAACGTATCTGGCTGCCTGAATGAGTGACTGCATTGATAAATAATTAATAAATTTACCTTTCAAGACATTTGCACAGAGATAGTTGGGTTAAATAGGTTGTTACAAATGCCTCTTGCTGCATATCTTCAGAAATTTTTGCAATATTTGAATCATATCATCTGTTTTTGTCCTATACATACCCCTTCTACTGTTACTCAATTGTGTTTAATCTCTTCTATTTAAACAAGTTATTTTTTTTAAGAAAAGTAGATTTCACTACCTTAATACTATTTAACAACAAGCTGTATTTTTCTTTTTTTCAATATTCTTACTGGAATATAGTTGATATATAATATTATATTGGTTTTACATTTTTCTAATATACAATGAGACAATTATTGAAAGTTTTTAGCACGCATAACAAACACACAAAGTTGTCGAATGGCTTTGTAACCTGGCTTTGTACAAATACTATGATCATTTTTGCAAAAAAGTGTGTCATTTTTGGATTCTCTGTGTCTGGAATGCAAAAGAAAGTGGAGAACTGAAGTTGTGCGGGCTTTGAGATCCAGTATAATAATTTGAAAATAGTCAAAGTGCATCGAAGATGATGAATCACTGGATGTCCGTAGAATACCATGTTTGCAAAGAGGCGCTGAGAGTGAGGAGGAAGTCCTGAGCTCTTGGGACATGCTGCGGTTTCAGAATTTACTAGTGAATATCCTAGAGCTTAAATATCCCCTGGACAGTCTAGATGTAGGAAATTTCAAATAAAAGATGTATACATCTTACTATCCTTAACTGATCCCTGCTTAACCAGAATGAGCTAGGTATTCCTCAGAAAAGATTTAAGGCTAAGGGTTTTATCAGGGCCCTAATTATATAATATTTTTTAAAATCTTAAATTTAAAGGAAATGTTTTAGATACTGTTAGCGTACTGTGTGCACGCTCCTACAGTGAATATGATTACCCCTGACCATGTCTCCATCTGGTTCTATGAAGAAAACAACTGTTTGCAAAAATTGCAAATATACATGCATACAGAAAGCCCGTTTTGGTTAGAAGGCCATACATAGCTGACAGGTCTAGGATGATCTTCAAAAACAAGTAATCCACTAATTCCAAATTAACGGTAATGATACTGTTATTCCTAGGAGCACAGCAGAGCAATACAAACTGTGGCCAAGAAAGAAATTCATGTTCTCTGAGAAGGTTTCTGTTGTTTATATCAATATAGCAACCCACAAATCAAACAGTTCATCAACCTTAGATTTGGGTTTATTCTCTTTATATTTAGGTTTATCATTATTCCTACAATCCATCACTCATACGTAATGAGGTATTATTGTAAAATCAGGGTCAAGTTTATTGGTATAGATTTTTCAAATGAGCACAGAAGTAGTACTTACAAAATGATAATTTGAAGACAGTGATGGTTTAGCTTCTAAGGAAATCAACGCCAGTGCTGAGAACAAGAGATGATGGATTATCAGTCTTTGAGAGTGATAATTTATTTAGGGGTTTGGACATGAGAATTAAAGCCTTTGTTTTATGTTTGGCTCTTTGTTACATAGTATATTCTTCATCAAACACAAATTTCCATTTGAATTCTTACATTGTGCCTGTTTTGGCTGCATACTAATAAAACTTGATGAAATATCCTTGTATCTTAGAATATATGTGTATATGAAAATGGCTTTGTAATTGCTTCCAAATTATTATTATTTTTTGCTTTATGGTTCATACCAGCTCTTTTCTCAGATGATTTCTTTTCACGTACTTTTGCTATCTGCGTAGGAATTCATGTAAACATTTTTTATTTTGATATTTAATTTGAACCAATGCTGACGGAGCTATTTCCTCACCTGCGTGTTCTGTGTAAGTTTGTCCACATTTATCTCATCTTGTAGATGGCTTTTTAGTCATCAGCACTCTAATTACAGTGACAATATCTGGTTTATGTGTAATATGGGAATCAATTTGCCAGTGACCTGTCACCTTGAGACAAAATTTATTCACGACTATCTAAAAATCATCTTATCATGGGTGGTCACTGACGTGACAACTAAATGGGTAAATCCACTTACTGTTTCACCTTTTTCACCTGCCTTCCTCCTTCCCTTTCCCCCAGCCCTGAAAAAAAACTGAAATTGGGAAAAATTAATGACATCATGACCCTGTGTAAGCCACATAATGCGGTTACAGGGCATATCACTTCTTGTTACACTGCAGTTGATGAGTTATAATTCCTCTGGCCAGTTCAGCTACCTTAACATACTTCAGGCTGACCTTTTCTGACCAATCTGGAAGTTAATTTTGGAAAGTTTACAGACCCTTATGGGGGAATTTATCCAACTAGTTTGAGAATAAGTTCATTTGTTCACCAAATTTGGTCCTGCAGTGCCACCTCCTGGTTGGTTATGGACTTAGCATTTTATTATTTCTGTGGAGGGGAGAGAGTGGTTCTGACACGTGCCACCTTCCCTATAACATACCTGATGCATCTTCACTGCTTCTTTCACCCCATTTTCCAGTTTTCTCATGGAAATTCTCTTCTATGGTTAGGCATATACAGAATCAATATTCGAAAGAGGTTTATCATGAAAAATGTGAAAGAAATTTATGAAAGAGAAGCATTCAACAAGTTGAGCACTGTATTCACAGGATCCTTTCAGGAATGCATTGCATACAGTGACCTCAGAGCAGCATTTTCCCAAATGTATTCTGTGGAGCACTAAACCTGACAGATATCGCCCTCCCCCAAGATAGCATGGTCCCATAACTTTGGGGAAAATGCTGCGCGGTAGATTCTCCTTTCAGAGATTCAGAATGCAAATCAGTATTTTGAAGACTCTGCAACGCCCTACAGTAGAGAATCTGCTTAATCTTGTTTAAACTGGAGCTCAGCAACTTTATTTGAATATGAAATCTCTTCTTCTCTTTTTTTATATAAACAAACATTAATATTCCACTCATGAAGTACCAGATTTGTTCCTCACATGGGAAACAAGACATATTCGGTAAACACCGTATTTATAAAAGCTGTGCTTTTTGAAGACCTACTGTGTTGCAAGCCTTGGGCTTGATAGTCAACATGCATGATCTCACATAGTCCTTCCAACAGCTACCTGAAACTATGTGATTCTCATTTGCAGCTGAGGAAGTGAGAATTTGAAGGGTTGGCTCTATGCTAAAGATCACCTTTCTAGTAAAGAGTTGAGGTTTTCATCTCTCCATTCATTCATGCACTCACTCATTCATATAGCAGTTGAATGTTTCTTGAGCATCTGCTTTATGCCGAACACTGTACTGGTGATGGAGATACACTGGGGCTTCTAGAACAGCATGTTTCTGCCCTCCTAGAGCTTAGAGCCTACAGAATCAAAGCCAATAATTAAACAAATACACAAATACATTTATTTCATTTCAAATTTGGTCTGTGTTTCATTGAAAAGAAAGTGTTGGTAATAGAGAATGTTGAAGCAGAGACATTAGTTTTGGGAGGATAATGACAAAGGGACATCTGCAGATGAGGTGGTCACAGGAGGCTGTGGCATTTAGCCCTAGATTTGAAGTCTGAGAAGAGGCAGCCTTACTGAGTGAGACCCAGGGAAAAGCATTCTCCATAGAGAGATCAGCAAGTGCAAAGGCCTTAAAAGAAAAGAGCTGAGATGTTCAAAGACTGGAAAGGAGGCACTGTAGCTGGTGCATTAGGGGCACTATGAGACAACTAGGTGCGTCCAACCTCAGTGGGGTACCGTTCTTAAATCCCTAACTTCCTTCTCAAAGTTACCCTCCTAGGACTCTTTACCCTCATTCCAAAGATGCCCCCTGCTCATTATTTTCTGAAACCTTCTATTGGAATTGCCTCAAAAGATAGCATCACTTGTTTCAAAACAAAAACAAGAAAAAATAGGCACTTACATCATTTACCAGATTTGACATTAGAAAATTTTAGGAAATAAACGATTAGCAACAAATATTTGTGCCCCCTTCTGCCAGGCATATTCCATGTTACCTTATTTGGTTGTCCTGGCAACAGTTTCAGTTGGCAAGACCAGGACCGTCTTCCCCAGTCCAGAGGAGGTAGAAACTGACACCCGTGGAGGTCAAGTTCTTACTCGAGATCAAAAGACTAGTGGGCGGACTGGCCTTAGAACAGCCGTGTTCTGACTGTCCATGCAGAGCTAGATCCTCCTTGGATTGCATGTTCTGAACTATGGGAAGAAATCCTGCCACCATGGGTGTTTCAAAGGCTTGTATTATATGATGGAAATAGCTCCTTCGTAGGGTTGGTACCAGCTCATAGAGTGTACATACCGATTGTAAGGGCGATCAATTCTTGGACCAAGTCACTACTTTTGGAGAGTTAACATTGGTTTTAAAATATTAATTCTTACAGTCATATACATTGTATGAGCAGCAGTTAGAAGAGAAGTAATAGATTAGGATCTAAGCAAATTAAAAAAGATGCCAAATAAATAAGGGTCTCAAACTCACATCTGTAGGCACCAGTGAGGACATATGGAGAGTGAAATCAGATAGATGCGGTTGTGGTGGGGTCCCCCGGGAATCAAAGGGAGAGTGTAGGCGTTGAGAACAGGGAACTCGGCACCTTTATGGGCAGTCTGCAGTTATTTAAATATTGACAAGCAATTCCAAATGTTTATGACCCGTGTCTGGGCGCAGACAGGGGCTTACAGGCCAGTTCCAGCTTGTGTCCTTTGTGTAGACTGCAAAAATGTGGAAGGGCTAAGAAAATCTTTCAGGTCCATTTCCTGGCCTTTAGCTAAAAACAGCACTCAAAGTAAGCTGGGAAGATTCAGTTAGCCATCGTGGGAGAAGCCACGGTGTTTTCATTTCGACTTGACCCCAAGTGAACGCTATCAGCCGCTTGCCCCGCAAGCTCACAGAATCTAAAGGGCTACAGCTGAAGGTCGGGAAGGCCCTTCGCACTTGAGCAAAGATCTAGATTTTGCACTGATTCTGTTTGTAGGCCACCTGCTGTATGTGGGAACTTTTATCAAACTAATAAAGATATACCTGGATTTTTACTCAGAGTGTTCAAACCCATCAATACAATTTCTCTATGTCGTAGTGTATATTTCTGTGTGTGTGTGTGTGTGTGTGTGTGTGTGTGTGTGTGTGTGTGTGTGTGTTGGAAAGAAAATAGAATTTGTGTTCAAAATGGCCAAGAGGCTGGGAAAAATGATTCCTAATGGTTTGGGGTCTTTCAATACTCAAAGTTCTTTAATAATTGTCTCTGCTGTTGTATACCAGCGCCTAGATGACTAGATATAGAATTGTCTTATGGTTCAGATTTGAGGCTTGCAAATATCTGAATCCATGATTTCTGATGTCAGAAAGGGACTTTACTGAGGTCTGTTGGAGATCAAAGCTGCTCGTGATATAAATGTGAGAGCATCAACTTAAGGCAGAAGGGCCATGTGCCACCGGAAACCTTTTTGCTTGGTTCAGTGTTTAAAAACAACACTGTTTTGACGGTTTCAGTGGAGCACGGATGCATACATGCTCCGCTCAGCTGCAGTCCTACATCTCCATGTATCCTTCTGGCTTGATCCCCACGTTTGGTTACAGAAATGCTGTTCTTACACAGACAGGTTTGCTCTGATCACTTCTCGGAGTGTAGATTTCTTTGCTTGCCATAATCCTTAGCCAGCAGATGGCAGTAAAACCTCTTATTTTTATGAAATCAAGTCATCTGTCCACAAAGGTTGGCAAACTATGGCTTTGGTGGCCGCATCCAGCCTGCTGGCCGTTCCTGTTAACAAAATTTTATTGGAACATCCACACCCATGTGTTTAACACTAATTATGGCTGCTTTTGCACTACAGGCAGCAGAGTTGAGCTGTTGAAATGGGACAATATCTGCAAAATCTAAAATATCTAGTATCTGGCCCTTTTTGGAGAAAGTTTGCCAACCCTTGTCTGTGTCACAAAGGAGGCCGACAGTGACCATGTGTGTTGTCTTCCTGACTCCTTTACTTCTCTTGGTTTGGAGCCTAAACCTGAAAAAATAAAGGCTAAGTATATTTTCAAGAGTCCTCCCTTCAACATGATTTCCTAGGTATAAAATTGCTTTTCTTTCTGGTCAGGTTTCCCAAGAATGTCCTCACCAAAATGGTCCATAGTCTAAGATTCCTTCCTTGTCGTTTCTCCTGAATACTCTGGAGACGGGGGTGAAAAATTGAGGAAAATAACTGCTAGTGGTCTGCTATATAGCTGAGTGCCAGTGTCACATGCAAATGATATGTTAATCATGAAATCTCTCATGATGTTTATTTGCATATTGTTGAGTGGCCTCTGGGAAAAAAAGCCCATGTTGTATGTTAGCTTAGTTATGTTACATAGAGACTTGTTACTAGCTAATTTGATTTGGGCTTTTCTTGAAATTTAACTGCTGTTTTAAAATTCTTTTTGGAAAAGATGTCTCCAGCCCTCTGAAGCTCCATCGAACAGAGACTTTTCCCGCCTACCGACCTGAACACTGACAGTAACTTGTAAGAATTGTTGTGTGACTGGCTTGTGCTGCGTCAGCCACAGATGCGTCCAGGAGGTCGCAGGATGACGGTGTGGGGAGCCACGGAGAAAAGAATCTTAACGTGCTGGCTATGTGTGGTCATGGGGAAATTCTGCAATACAATGTTTTTTTTCTTTTTTCTTTCTTTTTTTAAGAAATCTTTGTGTGATTGAAACATGCTCTGTAGATTCCAACTGTTTGTTCCCTCTTTTACAGTTGGGCAGAAGGACTCAATACCCCAAAATGATTTTCTATTGTAGATACCATGTCCTTGGCCCTTCTCTGAATTGACCCTTTTGTGGATGTTTGTGATTTTTGCCTTCTGAGTGTTTCAATGGTATGATGGTCAGTACTGACAATAAAACGACTCTTAATTATTTGTTACTTGTTTATACTGTATTCCTCAGTTACTAATAATAAGGTTCTAGTTAATTATCAAAATCGTATTTTATCAGATTATCAATGAGTTAAATCAGTGCTTCGTCTCACTCTAGTTAAGAAATAACAACCGAAGGACCCTTTACTATTCTTTATGGGGTCACAGTTTCTCTCTCACCTGATCACCCCTCCCTTTTTTTAATGCTTTTATTTTGTTTGGAGTACCTTCATAAAACATTTTAAAATAAAAGATCATTCTTCACGCATATGGTCTTTGGATTCTGGAAATATGGTTTTCTCTATATCTGCAGTATTTCTGAGGGCATGGGAGTATCTTCCTTGTGGGCCAGAAGCATGGTTTGGCATTGTGTTTGATACAAGAGCAGCCATGTACACATTTGCCCTTTGTCCCATTAAGCTGGTATGTACTGAGCATCTACTAGTTCCAGGCACTGTGCTGGGTAGAGTCCAGGGATGCAGAGATAAGAAGACACAAGACCCGTCACCAAGGTCCTTGGTGCAGAGGAGTATGACAAGGAAATAAAGCTGCAATTATAATACAGAGTGACATCTGTTAAATCGGCCCCAGTGGCGACGTCCCTCTAAACAGAGGGTCACTCTCTTCCCCAGACTTTCCCACTGGGGAACTACCAGGTGGGGCTCGAGCCTGTGAGCTTCTGAGACTGAGCTGCTGGAAAGCGACATGAGCTGCTCTCTGTCTCCTTCACTGCTCCGTTTCCAGTAGCGCTGCCAGATAGACTACAGGACATCCAATCACATTTGAATTTCAAATGCACAATACTTATTTAGTATAGGTCTCCCCAGTACTGCATGGGATGTAATTATACTAAAAATTATCCATTGTATGTCTTCAATTCCAATTTGATGGAATCATCTGTATTTCTCTTTGCCAAATCTGGCAATCCTATTTTCCAGGCCCTGGAACTGTGCCTGACACACAGCAAATATGTGTTGAGTGAATGGCTAGATGAGTAAATTCTTATTCTCGAGCTAGACAAGGGGAGGCAAATCGCAGTGATTGTATACTTCCTCAGCACCAGGCACTGGACTAGGCCCTTTGGAAAATGATTATTTGCACTAGAAAATACTATCCTGCATTTTAGGAAAAAATTAATTTTGCTAAGCCCCGAGGAAGGGCCACAAAGATGTTCATTTTCATTTGTGCTTCTTTCAAAAAAGTATAATTTCCTCAAATGTGGATTGACCAATGAAACCCCAAAGGCCTTGCTGAAATTCAGGTTTGCTAAGCTAAAATTCCCTCTCGGATCTGAGCTAGTTAGGGTTTCCAAAGACACTGCTGGTTAGGATGTGTTTTCTCGGGATGGAGAAATAGTTGGGGAAGGAGGCTTATATTCAGCTAAGACTTAATTAGTGGCCCAGGGATCTGCACTGACTCAGTCCTAGTGGCTTCGCTGGAGTGTGTTTGTTTTCTGTGTTCTCTGTAGCTCCTTTTCACATCATTTTAGCTCATCCTACTTCTCCCAAGTGTATTCATATTCATCTTTTAAAAATTTGGTTTACCACACACATTTTCCTAATTCCCTCACCGTTCATTTTCCTGACTCTGTCTGGCTCTTGCTTTATTTTCTTTCTTTTCTAAAACTGTCTCATAGGAAGTTTGCCCTGATTCCCAGAGCCTTGGCAGCTGACATGGGGTGTTGGGAGCCGGGGCTATGTCCCTTCCCCCACGTCTGAACGCAGCATGGGAAAGCACAAGCTTGAGAGCAACCGGTGCAGTCCTTGGAAGTTATTTGCTCACAAAAACATATCTTGTCCTTGAAGATCGGCCAAGACTCCTCACTCTGAAAATAGGGAGACCTTGAGGATGTGTGAAAACACCTCCCCGCCGGCGCCACCTAAGGTCCAATTATCTCCTGACCCACCCCTTACTTGCTACTTGTATAAATTGAGCCTGTAAACAATAAACTTCGCCAGCTTGATCAGACATCCTGTCTTGCTGGTCATTCTTTGTGTCCCTTGCTTGTCTCATTTCTGCAGGCGTCTCCGGCACACTCCACGTTTGTCCCGCGGGCCGGGACAATGGGGGCTTAGGTCGAAGAAGCAGATAAAAGAAATGGAATTAAAGAAACAATTATAATTTTAATGAAGTCAGAACTGCTGGAGCAAGTCTAAAGCTAATGAATGTGTAATGAAATGTGGTTAACTACAAGTCAGAGCCTCTTTTAGGACTTTTTAAAAAAGAGACGTTTTCCCCATAAAGAGCCAGAGTCCTCTTAGGTCACCCCAACGGCTTTTATGTATCGTCAGGCACTTACAGAAGTGCTTTATTTGTATTATCTTAGTTAATCCCCACAACAGTTCCAGGAGGTGAGTGTAATTATTGCTCCCATTTTACAGATGGGGAAACTGAGCCTTAAGGGGTCTAAAGAATACCCAAGATCTTTGAGCTCTGTTAAAAGGTAAATATGGAAGCACACTAACATTTTCAAGATTTATCTGGACATATATTGGTTGGGATGGGACAGCACCCAAACCACAGATGGTTAGAAGTGCTCCACGACCAGGAGCTAAGGGAGAGGTTTCTTTTAGAGAAGCTGTGGAGGCACAGCCAGGCCGTTATTTGATTGACTGTAGCTTAGGTGGTTGTCTATCTGGGAGAGCCTCGTTGGCTGTTTCTGACTGATTGTTAACTTTCATTTTCTTGGATTTGAGTGCGCTGACCCTGGCTTACCTCTTGACCTAGGTAGGCTTACCAAGGCAATTAGCACCAACCGAGGCCATGGCCTTGTAGGGGAGGAAGAAATTTCCTCCACCTGCAAGGCTCTTCTGGCTGGTCTAAGAATCCAATTGACATGAGACAGATTAACAGGAGAGAAAAAGCCAAAGCTTAATAACGTACGTACCCATGGGGCATAGACCAAGGGCTCCAAAGACAGGAGCATGAGGTCTATATGGCATCCTGAGACTTTAAAGGAAAAGGGAAGCAATTCACAAGAATATGAAAAGATTAAATGTTTGATAACCAAAGCCACACACGAACAGTGGAGCACAGAGAGAAATGTTAATAGACTTGGCCACATCCCACCCAGTCTACCTCGCCTAGTTCCGTGACCATCTAGCCGTCTAAAGTGATAGTCCTCATCAGGAGTGTATCCTCTATCTTAATTTTTTTTATGCAATTGGCAGGTGGGAGGCCAAAGTTTCTGAGTCTTTGGGCCTTGATTGTTGTCATGTCTGAAATGATCTGTTTGTCGTAATGGCATATCTGGGGGCAGCCTGCCTTCGGTCCTTACTACCTTCTTGTTTAATACTTCGACAGCTACTAAAAGGTTGACTCACATTTGAATCCAGGCCATCTGATGCCTGAGCCTCTTGCGTCAATTCCTAACACATGCTGCCTTTGAGGGCAGCACACTGTTTTCTTTAAAGAGCCAGACATAGACATTTTCCTCTTATGGCTCTGTGCTTGCTTTATTGCAACAGCAGCCATAGACAATAACATAGATCAGCATGTCAGTGTGCCAATAAAACTTTATTTACAAAAGTAAGTGTTGGGCTGGATTCACCCACTGTAGTCGCCAGCCCAAGTGAGTGTGCTGTGATTAATCTCTTGAGCCAAAAAGCTTTGTTTTTTTTAAATTTTGCTTAATGGTAATAGTCTCCTGAGTTTGTGGTTATCAAATGTTGGCAAATAATGCTCATTCAGTAGATCTGCGGTGGAGCCCAGGAGTCTGCATTTTCAATCAGCGTCTCTAGATCATTCCAATGCAGGTGGAATAAAATGCCATGTTAAGAAAGCTTGAGGAGACAGCAATGGAGAGAGTTCCTAGCAGGTGAGTTTTGGCACCTGGAGGCAATCAGCGAGGTGTTCTTAATCACAACGCCTTCGGGAAGTCAGCAGGAAGAGCTGGGATTGTGTGGGACTCGACTTCGGGAGCACAGGTACAGGTGCGAGTCTGTGGGTGGGTCACAACCAGGCAGGGGAGGTGGTGTGACTGCAGCTCGGGAAGTGGGCTCCCTCCTGGGGTTCTCATGCCTGTGCAATAGGCTCTTTGTTGCTATAACAACTAGTAAGAAGGCTCAGCGCGACCTCCTTTGTTTCTCCGAGATGGCCTGGAGTGCTGAGGCTTCCCACATTGTTCTTTTTAATAGGAGAAACCCAGCCGGGACCTACCTGTGCAAGCAAAGCACAGACTGGAAAAGACGCGCAGGGTGAGGAAGGCAGGGTCCCGTCGCTGCTCATGAGCTGGTCATGAGTCGGCGCTGAGCAGTCAGCCAGCGTCCCCAGCGCTCCCTCCCTCCCCAGGGGCTCCCGGCCTTACAGCGACAGCAACTGCATTCTTTGGCCTTTGGAAATGCTGCAGTTCCCTCGTCTCCCAAAACGCAGGGGTTGCTTGGGTGGGCTTGAAGACCCTGGAGATGGGTAACGATTGGCGTTTCTGCTCCGAGTCCTAACAGACCATGACTGTCCCTCTTTGGGTCCCTCTGTTTGTGTTTACATGTTGTATTTATTTGCTTGTTTTCATTGGAAACCCTCAGAGGCCCAGGACCTGCTTTACTCGTGGTTTTCCATAGCTAGTTGCCCTAAAGAGGGGCATGTGGACGCCCTCTAGAAAGGGTCTGCAAACTCTGGCCAAAACCGACTACTTCCTGCTTTTGTACATGAAGTTTCATTGGCACACAGCCATGCCCATGTGTTTTGGTGTCATCTATGGCTGCTTTTGTGTGACAGCCCTAGACGAGGGGTTGTGACGGGGTTGATGGCCGGGCCCTGCCCCATAGGACCCCTGCCCTCAAGAAGCAGCTGGTCGTCCAGGCTGCTTGCTGCTGCGTGCCTGCCGCTGCGTCAGCATCCCCTGGGAATTCAGGTTCTCCGTGCAAGGGAGTTTTTAGCCCTCCCCGGGCAGGCCCTGCCTCCTCTCAGTGCAGGGCTCAATGTTTCTGCTATTACTTGGGCCTAGAGAAATCTTCTTTTCCTCCACTCTTCCAAAGCAGACATTCCCTTCAGACTTCACCTTAAACACCAGGCTGTCAGAGAGCCTCCCTCAGACCCCCGACCACACACAGGCTTTTAAAGTACCCAGAACAGTTCATGCATAGATGCATAGCACCCATTGCTGCTTCTCATGGCATCTTCATGGGTTACAGGAGTGTCTGCCTCCTCTGGGCTTGTCAGGCTCTGCGAGGGCAGGTATTGTGTCTGTTTGGCTTAGCTTTGTACCCCCAGCACCAAACAAAATACCTGGCTGACTTAGTGGGTGCTCAATAAATATTCATTTCATAA